TGTAGGAATTAATTTTCTGTATATGTATGAGACTCAAATAGAATAAATGAATATGGCGACTTTCCAGCTTAAGTGTTTGAGGAAGATCTCAGGATCCCGCCTGTGCATTAGTTCACACATGAGCGGGAACATTAGTTCACCGACCTTCCGATAAAGGGAAAGTAGTACCAATTGGCCACACCAGCCTCTCCAAATTAAAATAATTATTTTAGTGGTATTATATGTAGCTACATTTATTGTTTGGAATAATACTTGCACTATGAATTTTATAGTGATTGTGAAACTTAAACTTCTACAAAAGGTCTATCCATTAGTTGGGAATCTCATGGGCTATTCTGATGACCAATCGACCTTTCGATAATAGTTAAACAATGTAGTTCTTTATATCGATGGTTTTGTATCAAGGTTTATATGGCAAAAAATTAAATGTTAAAATGATAATGAATATAAAGGAAGATAAAATTACACGTCTATCAGCAGTGTTTTTTGCTTAGAAAGTTTCTAGCTAAGAACACATGTAAAACATAAAAATTTACTCAGATGGATTATGAGTTCCTTATTAGTATAACTGTTACTGAATACTTATGTACTAGTTTCGATGCAGTGATGAGGAGGTTTGCATCACCATTGTTACAATTCATCTGTTTCTGACACAATTATGCGTGCCCTATTACCCTTGTTGCTAATACAAACCCACTATGAGGCTAATTGTCAATTTAAACCCCATCAGTGCAAGCCGTATATCCTCAACACCACTGAATGCCTCTAAATTGAAATTTCCAGCTTCTATAATTTCTGTAAGTTAGGGTCTTGAGAGTAGCTTAGAAAGCCATCACTTGCTAATCTCATTGTATGATTGTATAAACTAGAGAACTCATAATCTCTCCTAGCCCCGATGTCACCTCTTTCACGCCTCTTATCCAATCTTGTTACAACAATGCCAAACCTATTCATTAAGCGATCAGCTTCCACCTTTGATGGTAATAGAAATAAAAGCTTCCAGTACTGATGCTTAATCTGGTTGAAACAAGATTTTTTCTTTTCCAATAACTTTGTGACAGTGATAGTAATAGCTGTTTTCACTTCCATGAGCTCGTGATCTAGCGTCGCGTGCTTAAATTAGTTGGGATCATTAGTAAACAGTTTTATGGTTCTTTGAAAGGAAATGAGTCCCGTTTACATGGGGGATATTTGCATAAACACCTCCGCCGATAAACGAAAAGTCAATATAAAGTTTTCAATTACAGACAATAAAAGCCGTTTCTATTACTGATAACCCGGTAGGAGATGAATCTGAATTGAAGAGAGGAATTAAGTATAAGACACTTTATAGACAAGTGTACTTAATTGTTGTGGAATTGTTTCCAGAGATGTCTGCCTTAGCAAACACTTTTACGCTCTTGAAAACAAAGAGGACTGGATTTGAACATCTTTGGATGAATGGGTCATAGAATAAGAAGTAGACATAATGAATTTATTGAGGACAGAAGAACAACAACACTTATTACATGTTCAAAGTACGAATGATTTTTGAACGGTAGTTGGTAAACTCGTATAACTATAAAGTTAATAAAAATAGTTTTTAAAAATATAACGCGTAAATCAGTTGTGTAGGGCGTGCGTGTTTATGTTTTTTTGTTTTGTCATCAGATGATTATCAAAATGTTTTAAATTAAACCAACACTTAAAGACTCACTTCAATTGGTCAGACTTGAGTCAATTGCTTGATAGCGAGCAAATGAAAGCATTCATTTGCCACATACATTTTGTATTATTATATGTAGTGATATAGCATAGATTTTTTTAAGTATGACAGTTGCGTGTAATATATTTTTAAATGAGCAGACAATCTTTATTACTAGTATGTTCAAATATAAAGGTGTAGAAGGACTTAAAAAGCGAGGCTTTATTATATTTTCACATAAAACAATCTTTCATAGAAAGGTGTAATTTTACTGAAATATATTTGTTCGGTTCTGTTTTGTTATTTGCTTGTGTAAAAAAATGTATAATGAGTAATTGTATGACATTACAAGTTCTAAAGATTTGATATTTTAAGTAAAACAGATTGGTAATAATTTTGTTCCAAATCTTTCTTCGAAATAATAATAAAGAAAATGATATGCCTAACCAAATGCAAACACAAATTCGTTATGAGTTAACGTTTTTTTTTTAAATAGCAATATTTTGTAATAACTAATTTAGTATCAGAAAGCAAAATATGAAGATTGTAAATGATTAATAATATCAACTGTTAATTAATGTGTATGATTTAAATTTTTACAATGTATGCTGTATATATGTGTGTGTAATGACGAGGAACTGTTATGTTAACGTCATATTTTATAAGACAATCTGTTTTGTTCTATTAAATATTATGACAGTAACAAACTTGTTATTTATTTGAGGAGTACTAGACCAAATTGTAATTGATTAAATTCATGACGAATTTAATGACATTTAATTTTTTTTTTCAACTAACAACCAAGATTATTCTGAAGAAGAAAAAAAATCACCGACAAATTTCTGATCTATGAGTTCACCTTAACTTTATAGACCAAATATCGACAAATTGTGTTCAGCACCTGAAGTCTTTGAAGACGTAATAATGGAAAGTTCCGTGCGATAAGACTGGAACGCTATGAGGTGGTTTTATGAGTTAATTTCAAGACTTAATTGGACTATTTGTTAGTCTGTGTTGACAATGGGTGATGCGCGATAACAGGAAAGATAATGTTTGCTGATATTGGCTCTCATCAAGTAGATAAATGTGATTTACTGGCCGACGATTGTACTGGCGTAACGAAGATAAATACTACACTTATAATTGATATTACGGCTTCGTACAATGAACGATTCTTTCGCGGTTGGATTGTTTTAGATTGTCACATCTTATTTATGCTACAAGTTGTTATTACTCTTTAACTGTTCGTATGCAAAAAGAAAAAAAAAGAAAATAAAAGATAAATTCGGATCACTCAAACGATAACTGATCTTATACTCTCAGGCGACATTTCTGTTGTAAGTTTTGAAATTTTTGATTAAAATGAATATGAGCATGAACATCTATGGTATATTGTACTTTAATAACGAAGCTTCCAATATTCAAAGATCCATAAATTAATAAAAAAAATCTACTTTTAGAAATCCTCCAACCATGATTTGGATAAAAATAAACGTTTTATCATTGATCTTATGAAAATAATTAATCTTCAATTGCATTATCAGTAAATTAACAAAATAGAAAGTTCCGCATTCTGATCAAGATGATTCATTTGTATCCTAGCTAACAATGTCGGCTGACTGCGAAATATCATTTCAGTTTACATATAAGAAAATATCTAAAGCATCTTAACAAGGGGCCGATGTATCAGTTAAGTCTAATATTTTATTAATCGGGATGCATATTTCTTTCCACTTGATTATCAATTTGAATCAAACCTCAATCACAGGCAATGACGGAGAAAAATCAATGGACAGCGATCCCAGGTGTGCTTTTCACCAAAATTACAGAAACTTTCAATACACCATTTGAAATTATTAAATGAAAGGGAAAATACAATTTATTTGGTTAACAAAGAGTTTGTTCAGTTTTTGTTGCCACCGGTACGAAGTATGGTTAATCTCGGAAAACCCCGTCGTGCTAAATTAACACGAAGTCTACCGTTCTATTTAGGTGGTCCGCTTCAAGGTATTGTGTGATATTTACTTTTTGTGTAAAAATGTGATCGAAAATGCAATATGATACTAATTATGACGTTTGTAATATTTGCCAATAAATATAACATAATCTTTTTTGGCATGATATCCTAATATAGGAGTGTATATGTGCAACTTAATTAGCTTTGGTTTTTATCATTTTTTCTATCTCTCAATTCTCCATTCGTACAAGGGAGGCATCAAGTACATTGTAGGAGTCATTCCAGAGTGAACCTATATCTGGGGTATGTCATACCCCGGACGTTGGCTACTTTGGTCCCGTCTTTTTTGAAAAGCCTAATTGTCGAATTCTTTTAAAACTATTAAAAATGTAACTGGCGTTTTTGTGCTCTTGTTAATTTTGTTTTGTTTGATACACAATAAATTTTAAAATGTTATATGAATGGTACTGCCATTAGTTTGATACTGCTGCCAAAAAGTTTAAAATTGGATGAGTATAAATCACAGAATTTTCAATTTAGGCATTTTCATTATTTGCATTTGTTTAATTCATCTGTCTGTCCTAGTGTTAGTTTTCGTACAAAATAATTTGTTGCAAAATATGTTAACCGGGGTTCATATAAAGCGGGTATAAATCAGCGAGAAGCTTCAATTTCCGAGATACCGTTCTACCCGTAAACATTGTGTAAATTTCAACATCAAAGGCCAAAGCGGCCAGGTATGATCCGACAAAGCAGATCTAAAGAATTCCAAGATCAGAGGGGAATATCATCACATATTTTACTTCTACTAGTGTTTTATTAATTTATTACTATAGCTTATCATGTCCAACTATTATTCTATAAAAGGATGGTAAAATGAGTCAACGGTTTTAAACAAAGTTTTCTACAATGTTGTACCTCGTTTGGATAATAGTTCAGGAAGTTAATATCAAATCAAATTAAACGATAAGATTATAATTTAAAAATTTCATTTTCAGGGGAAAATATAAATATGAAATTTTATCAATGTTTTTGTCGTTTATATATCAGGAATGAGGACCGTGATTTGACAATGGTAGAGCCTGAATTCAACAATAAATAACAATTACCTAGTTATGTATATAAAGTAAATGATGCGTATGTTACAGAAAATGTAGGAAGTATTAAATTTACTAAGTTTTTAAAGAAACTTTCTTTTCAGTCCTGAAACAACGATTTGTCTAAATCAGAACGCAATTTGGAATAATAAAAATGCGTCCGAGGCACGGCAGACCAAATATGTCGAAGAAATTATCTTAGAGTATGACATGTTTATTTTGTTAATGCCTTCTTCAAGGGTGTTTATATAAAACAATATAATTGCAAGTTTTCATATTTTAATAAGACAACCAGAAAATATTTAGTGCAACAGAATGGTCAAATAATACGTTAAACAAAATATTGCCTGAAATAACAATTATATGAATATAAAAGTAAAAAAAGGAAAGGAAATTGTATAAATTAATGCAATTGATTTTAACCGATGAGATTTGTGGATAGTGATGATATATTAAACCGTAAAATTTAGAAGATTATAAAGTAATTCAATGCACAACCAAGTCTATGAACGCATGAAGAACGTTCAATTTTAAAATGAAAATTTTAAAATATATCAGTGGACAAAATGATATGAACTATCGAAATTTTAAAGAAAAATAATACTTATTGCCATAAATGACTCCCCCAAAAGGAATACTCCAAACAATAACTCCTAATAATCTGTCATTTTGAAAAATAATATCTAAAATATTTTTTTTTACACACGATATGATTTCCTTTTCAAGTCTGTTAGAATTTTTAAGATATATGTATATATAAAACAACATACCACTCTGAAGAAAATCAAGATCACAAAATATATCGAATGTAAATAACACGGCACTTTGGTGAACAAAATAATCATATAAATACTTTTCTTCAAAATCGAGTTTGAAATGTCCTTTGTTGTAAAGGAGTATCGTCTGTTTTTTGAGACTAAAATGTCTAGCACTGCTGTTTAAATGTTTGCTACCACCAACGTGTTTGCGGCTGCATTAAAGGGTGGCTATAACTAGGTAATACATTCATATTGTTAGTATATGTGTTCATATTTGGCATATTCATCCCATTCATAGAATTCATTGCCGAGTTCATATTATATGCACAGCTCATGTTCATAGGTGATGACAATGACGTATTTAATGAGTTCATACCCGGGAGACTATCTCCCATGGACGGTAAAGTGTTCATGCTGTTCACATTGTTCATGGAGCCCATTCCAGTATGGCTCATGTGTGACATATTGCTGAGATTCGCCTGTAGATTATGATGATGATGATCTGCTGACTTGATAAGGCCACCGTTCATACTAGGTTGGCACGGTTTACCGTCCCTTACTAACACAGGAACTGCAACTCTCCGAGGGGAAGGTAATGGATTGAGATCAAGTCCCTTCTCTTGTCTAGCACGTTTTAATTTATATCTGTGATTTTGAAACCATATTTTAACTTGCACGGGGGTAAGCCTGATGATGCTTGCTAAATGTTCTCTCTCCGGCGCAGATAAATACCGCTGCTGTCTAAACCGCCTTTCAAGCTCGTAAGTTTGAGCCTTTGAGAATAATACGCGTCGTTTCCTCTTTTTCTGATTACTTTCTGAACTATTTTGATCTTTCTTTTCATCGTCATCTTCGTCATCCTCTTCGTCGTCATCTTTGTCGATGTCGTCTGCTTCAGCGTCCGAAGACTCGTTATGTTCTGATTTCAGTCTTACGTGCCCGCCATTTGTCTCGTGCGCTATTTCACCAGACGACTGGTTTGAACTACTGCTTGGCGAGTTCATCTGTGGTAAGTCTAAAATAGAAATATATTTCTTTGAAATGAATTTTTCTTTAAAAGAGTATATCACTTTCATTCAAACTGAATATCATATTTTATCGGCAACATAATTTTTGATAATATATTTTTATATAAATTATTCGAATTGCATCAAACAAAATTGTCTGAGTAAATTATACGGATGCTTATTTCCAGCTATCAATAATTCATTCAAAGGTATTATCAGTCTCTAAATTGTTTAACTTTTTCAAAAGGTATTAAAGAAAGCATCCTTTAATATGCTTCTAATTTTGTTATGTTTTTTCCCTTCAGAGTATTATATAAGTTAAGCCGTGCTGAAGTAAACTTATATTGACATTACCAAATCTCTAGCGAGATGAAGAAGAGATGAACATGGAGAGGTTATCACATGTTAATTAGAGAAAGTGGACAGTTGATGAAATTTAAACATTCCTTGTTATTCATCCAGATATCAGTGACACATTCAAATAGTATAAAACCACAGTAAATGTGCGTTGAATTGCTTTTGAAGAGGATAAAGTAAATAAGAAATAGAGATAAGGGATAGGTCGAACATAACGACCTAACACCTGGGTATAAATTGAATTAGAGTTGTAACTATTTTGAGGTCATATATGACCAATTAATTATTTTTCACTTTACTGTTTATGTTTGTTTGCATTACCGCTTTATCCCTTGCGTTAACCAAAAAGGCTTTAAAGTCCGTTTATTTTTTCCCCTCCTAACAGGTTGAAAAAAAAAGAGTTGAGACTAGTATAGATGAAATTGTAAAAATATGAAAATGATAACATTTTAAATTTTATATATTTCTTAAAGAATAACAAATGAAAAAGTGTCATATATTTTTATATTGAACGTTATGATGAGATAAATTTTAGTTGAATTGGTTCAAAATACTTGTGCACAAAATTTGCAAAAATATACTTTTATTTTCTAGAAAGGGTATGAAGATAATACCCAAGAGTTTTGATTTAAATATAGTATTTTTAGATTGTAAAAAAGTGATAAAAAAGAACAAAACATTATAGCTTACGTGTATATTGCATGACATCGGAAGCGTTATTCTGTAACCATCGGGTGTACGGATTTTCGGCTGCATCATAGCTGTAGTCTACAGGTGGAATATCTGGAATATTTGGAATAGTTCTAAGTGAACCCGTGGTAGTCGTCCCTGTAGCCACAGGACTGCATGCCAGTTTACCTTCCCTCGGTAGGTCCAGAATATCCTTTACATTGAAACTGCTTGATTTCATCACTAGACTGCCGTCCATCTGTCCGTACAAGAGAAGAAATAACACCAAATGAAAAAAATCTAATAAAACACTTATTCGTACTAGATAAGTAAATTATATAACACAGTTAAAAGTGTTAAGATTGTAGCACTTGCGTACTCATCACAATAAATCTGCACCCGCTGTGTTCTCGAGTTTAAAGGAGAAAATCGAAAAGTCATTAAAACATGCCAATATGGAAGAGGTTTTCGAGCGATAGCTATATTTTACAATGATTTTTGTTGACATTACAACTGTTCAATAGCAGGGGGAGTGTCTTCAGTTCACTTAAAGCTTATCACAGATGAGTGTGTAACGAATAGGATTCATAGATAGAAGAATACGGAGAACGCGGAAAGAATTTTATTGGACGCGTTGTCCAGTGGAATGAATGAAGTGACGGATGGGCGTTGAGTTTAAGTAATACTAATCAAGCAATACGGCGGTGTTTAATTTTAAACATTTGCGGTGATATCTCACAGTCAGTATTAAAAGCTTTATTCCATTTAGAGAGCTACTTTAGCTGGCTTTATTGCCTTCTTTAATTGCCCGATTGTCAGACAAAAGTTTGGAGTTTAATTAATCCAAAACGATGCCAATTAATGTGTTTAGAATGTCTACTGCCGGGCCAATCCATTACCCCTACTGGCAAAATACTTGTTATTTTATTGCTGTGAAGAGGTGATGGTGATATTAGAAAACAGTTTAACAGATTTGACGAATTTGGTCTTGACAGATAACGAGATGGGCATGAGGCAAATTACGTAATTATCAAATATGGTGTCTAATTAATTACACAAAGACTCTTGAAGGAGAGCATTAACGTAAATTGACGTCGTTTAAGGATCCCGTCATGCGAAATCTATAAACTTGACCGATGTACACCGCGATGTTTGTTAATTTTTTGATACCAAATGTTTTTATTTTTTTATTTATTTTGACTTTGTTCTTAGTTAGTACAATATTTGAAATATCTTCAGTTTTTTTTCTCCTCAAGTTCAACTGATTTTAAATTCTTTTCAGTTCCAACACAGCTAACTTTACCAAATGTGTTGGTCTTTGTGTCTATAATATAACTAAATGTATTGATTTACATCAGTAACAAACTGTTCTCTTAGTCTTTAAGGGGGTCTTCTATGAAAGAATGACTTTCTAATTTCTGGTGTAGTGCATTGACATTAATAAAGGGCACTTGGGAATGTGAGTTTTAATCTAAAATGACTTTTATATATGATCATTGTCTTGGAGACAACTTTTTTTATCAGAAAACCAGAAACCATGGTATTATTTCAAAATCGCTTAAATTCTTTTGTGTTGTGGGTACTTCTCTATAAGTATGGAACAGTTAAATGACTTCTCCCTTCCCCACTCCCCACCCCCCCCAAATTAATAATGATTTGAAGAACCATTGTTTTGTTGCCTATACATTTATAATGCTTATACAAATGGTATCACATGTGATTTAATCAATGATGAAATATGTTCAGAAACACTCTGATATTTTACATATTATAAAAGATAATTTTCGTTTTTAAGGTTGATCCAGAAATGGTTTTTGATTGTCTCTGGTTAACACAATAAAAAAACTTTTAAAAAATGTTGTAATATTGCTTTTTTAAAATTATCTTACAGACGTTGAATCAATGATAGAAATGGTGTTTCTACATGAATAAAAGTTTATGTTGCTGGTGACGTGAGTCCAAATGTGTCTCTTGCAATAACGTGCACGTGGGAAATGGTTTTAACCATCTGACTATAAATCCGGGTTTTGTGTATCCCAGCAGCAGCAGCAGCAACAACAACACATTTAACAACAATCCCATATACAGCAGCAACAACAACCAATTCAAATGACGCTTTTTTACTCATCAGGTATAACTTCACGTATAACTTTCCATAATATTAATGTTGATAAAATAATGTTGTTTCGCTATACAAATTAGAAATGGGGATACGTTAAAATTGAAATAAATGTCCGTAAAATTAGAAAATATGGATTATCAGAGTGGAAAAGTATGTTGTGTTCGATTTGTTATTGATAAATATAACTTGGTTTAAAAATCAATTTCAAATTAATATTTTTCATATTTTATATGTATTTATATTGTACAAATATTTGATGTTATGTATATTTTGTATAAACATATATTGTATTTGTTTCTAAACTGGCATGATATAGCTATATTTTAGATTTTTGGTAGCATTTTATGGTATTCCTTTAATATGATATAATATCTATATAACTTTGTTGTCCGAGGGTATTCGAAAAGCATGCCTTTTTTGGACTGTGCATTGATGAACAAATTAACAGCCATATAATAGGTATATTAATGCTCATTGTATTGTATCATTTTTTGTCACCGACATGTTCTTAAATATGACTTTGTTATACTAGTCAGTCTCACTGATTTTAGGAAAAAATCATTTTAAGCAGCATATGTCAAGATCCATACTAATGTTCATGAAAATTTTGAAAATGTATGGAAAAGTAAAATATTGTGAAGTGAATAAAACAGGAATTTACGCATTGCAAACGGCACTTACATTTCACGTAACTGACCAAAAAGAGGTCAAAATATGCAAAATCAGTCCATACTGTGTTAGTCATGCAGAAGAAATGTGATATCAGTCATTAATCGCACATAACATGTAAATTATTACTTGAATCTCAAAAACTTTTTTTCTTTTCTTAAAATCTTACTACATTTTTCGATTTTCTTGTAATATTTTGGCTCATCTTTTGAAATGCATATATTTAAAATCAATGGATAACAACCGTACATTCTAGTTAATTATTATTCAATTAATTAATTAAATCCATTTAATTAATTCCATTAATATTTGTGTAAGTGGCAAAACATGTATAACAGTACTTAACATGCACGATGTTGTTATTTTTTGGTTTTTTTTGTTTTTTTAATTTTTTTTTCTTTTCAAATATTTACTTTAATTTGATTAAATGCTTGTTGTTTGCAAATTCCCATTGTGCGATTTAACCGAAAGATTACAGTAATATAAGGACCTTGAGATGAAGAACGGGGCATAGCTTTACTACTGTCAGACATTATATAATATCTGCTGCTGTTGGTATGAACATAACATTCTGGCCATTGTTGGAATCAAAACCTATGAAAAAGTATGTTAAGGATTCATTCATAATAAGTGCTTGCCCAAGAGAGCAGAGGAAAAAGAATCAACATGTATCGAGAACAAAGATTTGTTATTTTTGAATCTGTACATGCCCCCATAGCACCGCCTAAAGTGGTCTTTTTAATTTTCAGAACTTAAGCTAGAGATATGGCAATTAATAACAACAAATATCGAGAAAAAAGTGCGCTCAAATACCATCTGATAACCTTTAAAAACCTGCCATCTAGCAATAAGCACCCGCTGATAGATAATCAAAAATATATGAAATAGAAAGGTTCCCCATTGCAAGGAAGGGCAAACACAATACATAAAAAGTTAATATAAAAGAGCATGTTTATAGGTCAACACACTTGTTCTTACTCAGATACATGTATAACTGTACAAACCAAATAAAATGGAAATAAAATTGCAGTTATGTTATGTACCAAATAATTGTATCCCCGGCCCCCAATCCAAGGGAGGGCGGGAACTGGCAGTAGAAGGAGTCGAGTTGTCACTTTCTATTTCTGTATGTCCATGCACTGACGCATCCATGTTTTACTTTGTTGGACACAGTGCTTTATATCATTATATATATGTTTGAACTAATTCTGAGACAAGGCCAAATATGGTCATAAGTGAACCAAGCCCTTTTGTGTCGACACAAAATAGCGGAGGATGATTCTAACTTCCTATGCAGGGATATGTTCATGGAAAGACGGAGCTTTGATACAAAGTCCCTGCCATATACCGTCAGGTTAACCCAATAGGTAGAGCGTAGGACTGTAAATCAGACAGTCCGGGTTCGATTCCCGAACGGTGCAGGTCACTTTTGTTGTGATTGTGTACGGTCATTCCCACTGTATCACTTCTCTGGCATGTACAGAAGTTATCAATTCCTTGCTAAGGTGAAGGCAACTAGTCCTGATAAACTGACTGACAGCCTGCCTGGGAGCGATGCGGTGGCTGAACTGTGATCTGATAAATTCAATGTGGCTTACTGCCGTGTTCCGGAGTGAAAACTACCAACACCAATACCACCACCCTGACAGGGCCTTGGATAATGGATTGCCTGGTACATATTACTAATAAGAAATAGTAATACTTTCTGACGTATCAAATGAACTAATAACATTTCATATTTTAAATTTTGATTATAAAAAATAATTTTCCAGTATATATTAAGAATATGCAGTTTGTTAATGTTATGAACACTTGTTGGTATTAAAGAAAGAAAAAGCCACCAGGACAAAGGCTTGTCTTCCTGTGCTACAGTAAAGTTAAAAACACGTTATACTTTTTGGCTGGTCAATGATATAAAAATTGATATTGAAATCGCTTAGATTAACTATAGGAACGTTTAAATGTGAATCAGGAACCATCATAAATGAATCACGTTGAAGACAGAACCTTGTTTTAATACAGTATAGACAAACATATCTCCTAAACACTGTATTACAAATATATAGCAATTTACATTGTGTAAATGACAACACACGGACAGTTCAGACATGGGCGGTCTTCTTTTCACTTTTTATAAATAAAGCAAGTAATTGATCATTTCAAACTAATAAAAGATTAGAGGAAAATTAATATCGTTCAAATAAGTACTTGGTAAATAAAGTTTGCTAAGTAAGCACATGGACGATTTAAGTCGTAGAGACTGTTATTTGCTGAAGGCCCATCTAGATGAAGAAGGTTTACATTAGATGTTTGGGAGAAAACTGGCATTGAATAAGAACCAGGTAAATCTAAGTTAAATCAAATACAGTGTGTAAATAATCTACAATTGTAAAACATTAAATCGTCTGAGATTCCTAATGTAGAAAGAATGAATGCTTTAAAATAAGACAGAAAAGAGCATTCATGAAAAACATTTTTGCTCGTGATGTTAATAATGAAACATTACACAGGAGTGACACAATCAAAAAAATTAGATAACGGTCTATTGTGAGAAAACACACATTTTTGCAACATCTCACAAAAGGAAAAGAACGGTATCTGACATGAAAAGGACAAATTTGAAATTTTTTATTAGTTAAGATTATTTGAACATATTTCATAAACACACAACTTGATAATGTCATTTTAATTAATTTGATAAAAGTATACAAAATATGATAAAATTGGAAACCTTAAATGTTGTCCAACATAAATTCTAAAAGAACATGTGTTTGTAACGGCAGTTGTAAACGCAAGTTTCTCACGCCCCCTAGCACCGGCTTGTTGTGTAATTGTGTATATATAAAATTTAAGGTACTCAACTTAAAAATATATATCATTAAAGTATGATAAACATAACATGTACCGATAGTTTTGTTTTTACTTAAAAATATTAAAATAGATCCGCGTGCTGTGTTCAGTAAGTGATAAAATAGTTGTTTGTGGACAAAAATCTAAACAAATCCTAAAATGATAAAATACACACAATGTCGCTTAAGCCATACAGGAAAAAATAGCATTCAAAATGTGTTCTTTATCTTTTGAGAGTCTAACATATAGAAAATACCGTACTGCTTGATAACACAACTTATTTTGAGTCTTCCCTCTTCAAGGCACTTATTTGGTATTAAATGTTAATTATACTTCAATGTTGTACAACCTTCTACACGATGGTAGCTCTTTTGCGGGCCATTATCGCCCTGTAAGTCTTGCTAAACCTGAAAATCCCATAACGCTCACATGCTCAAGATTCTCAAGTGGTTTAAAACAAACAAGAGAATATTGCCGGCTCATTGTTTGGACGGAACATATCCTACTATATTCAACTAAATATTCACAAGGCGGTCCGCCAATAAAACACCTAGATACATGTTATTACGTAATATATTGTAGTATTGACTTTTTGTTTTAGAAAAAGAAAAAGAAAAGATTTCATTCTGAGGAACGCTTGAAAATAAAGAAATGATAGTGTTTTGAGATCACGTTGTATGTTTCTTATTGAGACTGATGTCACTTTTTGTGAAACGTATGTCGGACAATATTGCTTCCATCTTGCGTAAAACTGTAAGCCAAATAAATTAGATATTGCATTGTTAGTAAGGTGACAAAAACCTTTGCTGTGTATAGTTATATGTCAAAAAAAATTTCATTGTGCACTAACTTTTATTTATTTATTTATTTGTTATTTTTGTAGTTGCATTTCTTTTTTAGATTACTGCGAAAGTAAGTGGTTATAACCTTTGAAAAATGAAAAATTTATATCTGATTATTCCAATCGTCAAAGAATTCAAAACATCCAAAACAAAAACATAAAGCTGAATAACTTGACAAAATCTAAAATTAAGGTCATTTACATTGTGTCACTGATGAGAATTAAAGTACATTCAACTTTTCTTTTAGAAATTATAAAAAAAAAATTGTGAGCTTTATTTGAAAATAAAGCGAGACGGTGCAAAACACACAATCGGCGCCATTAGATTCCATATAAATCCCTAAGATCCATATAAAGTACAGGCCGTATTCTCATTGGCCGGAAATTTGATACGGACTTGACGGATATTATTCCAAAAATCGGTCCCGAAAATATCTGTTCAAATTTAATGTTCCCCTTTGCCAAACAAGATTAGTGAAAATCTTTTCGTTTACGTTCTTTCAGTTGTATAAAGTCGAAAAAGATTGGTTAGAAATGATTTGAAATGGTGTTTATACTGCGAATACAAGAGTTTGTCTTTACGCATAAATATATATAAACTAAGGATTTTCCCCCCGTCTTAAGATCATGAACAAATAAATCAACAGGCACTAGAATTTACATAGAGAACATCGTTTTGTCACTAAGACTGAAAGTTTATTGTCCAGGTAATCCATCAGATAGAAAAAAAGCGTCCCACTGGTTTGCTTTATTTTTAATAATTTTGCGACCATTCACAACAATGGCCTTTTTTTGCTACAGTAATAACCGGGTTAAATCTAAAGAAATTTCTTCAGTTGACTACAAAAAAATCTTTTTTAATAACTCATTATCATTTGAATTCTAATCAATATAAAATTTACTTAACATTATTAACAATGGTTCAGCATTTTAAATAAAAAACAGGACACGAAAATTTAGTGAAACTACATTTTCATTTTTTCAACGTGTGAGATATTTTGCAACCATCTTATTCTGATAATATCATTGATTTTATAATAAAAACGATCGTGTTTGCGTGTTTACATTCAAACTTGATCTCTGTGTTTTGCCAAATAGATTTGCATTTCCATTAGGTATTGGGGCTGGCATCCAATGTTTAAAACTTTTACTATGTTTACATGGCAAATTAATTTGTTTCCTCAAGATATTTGGTGTATGCATATCTTAAACATAATTTAACAATCTTAATATTTAAAGTAAAGATATTTGTCTGGGCGGCAGTTCGATCGGTTTTGCTGAAACATGCACAAACTAGAAAAAGAATATAATCAGCAGATGTCACGTGACTTTATTTAATTCCATGACTGTCAGTGAACTACGACAGCAGCCTTTTATCTTGTGAGTTATGCTTTCAATTTTGTGGCTTTTTAAACCCTAGTAAAACAATCTAATTTTTCATCGTTTACAGAAAACAGGCCGCTTTACCAAGTAGAACTTTGGTGTCCTCCCAACATATTTAATCACGGGTAATCTCGCCTGTACAAACGAGATCTTAACTGTAGGCCTACTTCTTTACACAAGGTACAAATTAAATGGACATGTTTTGTCAACTGTTTACAAAAACATTTGAGAAAACTGCAAAACTTTCACACAATTTGAAAATGTTTGTCCCTTGCTCTTCAGTGAAATGCAGTTACCACATACTCAACAGATAAGCCTGCTTCAAAAAAAATAAGTACATATAAATAAAAGTAATGCTTTAACTTTTGTTTTACTCTTAGAATCATATTCATTGTAATTTTATATATAAAAAATATATAAAAAAACTGCAACGTTTGCGAAACCTTGATCAACAGTTAAATATTAAAAATGACCAGCTTTTAAATCATGTTTTAAAACTGAATGAATATCTTGTGTTTATTTTGAGAATGTGTACTATTTTTGTTGATGTGTTTAAGAACCTCAAGTTGAGTGCTACGGTTTTCCCTCCATACATACCAAAGTGAGCGCGCGTGTTTAGCTACGCACAAATGCAGATATTTACCTGCGGACGTGGTTGCGTTGCGATGTCAATCTTTTTGAAGAAAATGGCATAAGTTGGTCAATACTTGGCAGTGTCTCTCTGCACATTTTAATCTCTTTATCACCATTTTGCTAAAATTTTCAAGGATAAGCTGTGAATATAATCTAGTATATGGATGATGAAGATAATTGTTTCTAAAGAAGAGTCAAGCGTCTTGTGAAATCGATGAAATGGAGGATTATGGGATATTACTTCATTATGTTTGATGCGCCTTGGATAATCTTAAGAGCTTAGTTTTCATTGACACCTTTTTGGAGTGGGCATATTATTCACTACTTAGTTATCTCACTTGAAATTGTGTATCCACAATAAACCCCCCAGTCATTTTGGTATTTAGAAGATAGCGCTTGATGAACAGAGTTCAGAATGGGCAAGAGTTAGATATAGCATGATTTGTGTCACAATGTTTGATTTTTAATTTTTTATAACAAACTCTATTCATCGTACAAATATGCTGTACATATGAATAGAATATGTATATGTGTTTGAAATATGTCGTGTAGGAATATGCACGTGCTTGATTTTGGGTAGTTTTAATTTAGGCATTGTTTTGCGGATGCAGTTGCAAAAGTATGTACATGTTATTCACTATTATAAGCGCAGTTATAATATTTTTCTGCTCTTTTTTCCAAACGCTAAACAAAGATATATCAATTTTAAGACAGAGTGAAAACATATGAACAAACTTCTTGTGTGCAACAGAAACGGTTTTCAGTTTTATAATAAGGGTATCAACGCGTAAAATTTGATTAATTAATGGGTTAGCAACCTAAATCGGGTGCGATGAACGTAGTTGTAACGTGATAAATGTGTGAACGACTGGGGCTTACAGCCTGTATGAAATTTAGATTGTGGTCCTTAATTGCTTCTCATATTTGTTCAAGGATTTATCATTTCCTTCAAAAGCATGGGACCAGAAGACAAGGAGCGTTCAAAATCACTGAGGATTTTGTATAACTCCGATTGTTGAAATTTTGTTAAATGTATGCTATTCATATGTTAAGAATTTAAAAAATCTAGTTTGTGTAATAACATGAAGTAAAATAGAATAGTTTTTTTTATGTAGATTAAGGAAATGAAGAGATATACATGTATCACGTACCGCTGACCATGCCTCTGCAATTGCGTCTGTCGTTGATTTTAGCGGACTTTCTGACATCATCTTGTTAGACGCTGCCTTATTTCTTTACGTCACTTCCTGTACTTTCCACCTTTACAGGTACATCACTGAACGTTATTTCCGACTACTTTCTTCTACTTTCCACTTTTACAGGTACATCACTAAACGTTTTTTTTTTCCCGACGTTCTGATTACTGGAAACGGTATTTCTTTGTAATAAGAAAATTGAATCAGTCCAACAAATGTTGCTGTTGTTGTTTTTGTCTTTATGCTTCGTTTTTAATAAATAAATATATATATATTCTTCTTTTTGTTATATATATTTTTTCCTTTTGTTTCTTTAAATCATCCAGCAGATATAGCTAGGTCACTTACTTCTTTATTTACTCCAATTTGAAAAAGTTTGATTTGTGCGATTGTATGAGATAATTTTAATAAATTCCTTTCAGACGATATTATTTTAGTTCCGGTTTCTGTTGTTTGTATGCCTCCCCATTTCCGTTCGTTAGTAAACATCCAAATTGAACTAAACAGATAAAATGACCTTTATACATTAAGAGACAATAGCTCTGATAAAAACCGTGAACATCCGAAAATTACCCAAAATTTACTTTTATCGCCGATCTATCTCTGAAGACGTTGACTTACCCGCGTAACTTTGATCGGTTGGGGACAATATAGATAAGCTTGATTTACGGCATTTTATGATACCGTACTAATATGCAAATACTGAACAGTTTATGGCCTACTCTTAGCATTGGTAAAAATATGTTTGTTTTTGTCGTTATTAGATGATAAAACTGACGAACGAACCCTTTCTTCTCTGATATTGTACCTTACTTTAAAGATAGCCAATTTATAGCAGGGGTAATAATTGATAAAATAATTCATGCAAAAACCCGCTTTAAAACAATAAATTGAAACGAATTTTAAAAAATGAATGTGACTATGCATTTAATGAAATAATTATGTAGCATATACACAGAGAAAGAATTAATGACGAAATTCACTATTTGCTTTCAATGTAACGAGATAAAGCAGTGTTAAAAAGGTGATATTTTTACATAACAGTTTTTAAACTTTGCTTTGTAGCTGATCCACTTAAATATGTGTGTTTTCGTTACTTAGTGCAATCAAATCAGATATGTATCCTAATATGATATTCAAGAAATATCTTAAAATGTAAAGATTTGTCTAAAATTCAGCTTGTTACATGTATAATCTTATATGACATGTGTTCGTTATTACATTAACACGTGCACCAATATCGTCTGCAAAAAAGAAACGTAATAAATATCTTAAGAATTTTATCTATTTACTTTGCACATTCGGAAATCCCTGACTTAGATAAGAGAGGTATTGTATTTAATCACCACATATAAATCTCCAACAGTTTTTAATACCACAATGACATAATAAATCGGTGCTTTTCTTTCAATGCTAAAATAAGAGGTTACAATACATTGTTGAGTACAATACCGAATTATATTGGGCGGGAACACAGCTATATTGGACGATACGTTACTTCGAGCACAATATGGATTTCACACGGACCTTTTGAACTCACAAACTGAAAACGAGGCTAGAAAGAGTAAAATATATAGTTGATATGGATTTATTGGACTCGGATAATAAAAACAAAGCTGGAGTACAATATGTATTTGATACGGATCTTTTTACTTTGGGAAATAAAAAATGATGATAAATTGATTAGATTGGATCCGTTAAATGATTTATTTTTCAAAATCACGTTTTGCAAATACCGAAGGTTCATTGGTTACGTGTTATAAGGCGTTTAATGAATGAATTTTGGTATTCTCCATCAAAATCACGGACTTTTATAGAGAGTGGTCTACTTAAACACCATTATTATTCGTACACAGTTGACGTAACTGATCTTGCAAATACTGCTAAGAAAAAAAAACAAACATCAAAACACAGAATTTAATATTAAGTCATGTGTTATGTGCTTTTCGTTTAATGCTCTAAATTTTGGTATATTGTATTGTTGTAAATGCCGTAAAATCAAGGATGCTATTGTACCTTTTAAGGTCTAATATTTTTTTTCATTCATTGTTCTGATAAAGAATAAAACACAGAAAATAACCATTAGTCGTTTAATTCTTAGTATGTTTTAATTGTATGTGTTTAAGAATAGCGGATCTTGATATTCATATTTAAAAGTGTATACATGTCTGAAAAGTGTTACATTAAAGGCACATTATGCTTCAGAAACAAATCAGTTTTTCTCTTTTATGTAAGGGCATACAATAGTTTCATAAAGTTTAAATAATAGTTTTAGAGCATGCTAGATAATTATTACCTGAAGGAAGTAATGATGAACGTGAAATTATTTGTCATCAAAGTAACAAAATGTAAACAAAGAAGTATTTTGACTTCCATACAAAATACTAAATCAGTATAACTTTATTATTTGCTAAAAAAGCAACATAAGCAAAAGATGGGTCAGGTTATTGGTCAATTAGTGACTTTTCGGAAAATATAACATGACATCAAAAATTAAAGTATTTTCAGAAATGAAAATAAAAAAAAACCATTTCTTATGCATATTATATTTTAATATACAATGTATAGATAAATTAAGAGGTGCATTATAATAACAATCAGATCATGTATTTACTCCATTCCGGAAGAAACCATTTTACCACTTTCTTTACTTCATTCTAGAAGAGACAATACTATCGTTTTTTACTACATTCCTAAAGTAACACTTTAAATTATGTTCTTTACTCCATTTCGAATTTAATAGTTTTATCATGTCCTTTAGTTCATTCCGGAAATAACAATTTTATCATGATCTTTACTACATCCCGGGAGTAGCAATATTAACATGTCCTTTACTCCATTTCGTAGTAAATAATTTTATCATGTTCTTTACTCCATTCCGGAATTAACAAATTTTATCATGTCCTTTACTCCATTCCGGAATTAACAAATTTTATCATGTTCTTTACTCCATTCCGGAATTAACAAATTTTATCATGTCCTTTACTCCATTCCGGAATTAACAAATGTTATCATGTTCTTTACTCCATTCCGGAATTACCAAATTTTATCATTTCCTTTACTCCATTCAGGAAGTAACAAATGTTATCATGTCCTTTACTCCATTCCGGAATTAACAAATTTTATCAAGTCCTTTACTCCATTCCAACAATTGGTGATGTAAAGAATACACGGGTTCGTGATTCAAAACTTACCGTGGTTCTGATGGGAATAAATGTAAAAAATATAATCTGACTGTACAAAAAATAAATGCGACATAACTGAACAATAAACTAGCCGGTGTGTTTGGGAAAAGAGCTTTTGAGAACCAAAGAAAAGAAAATTTACAACAAAATACCACTTGCAAAACATATCATTTATTACAAATATTCAATTAAGTAAATTTTACGCCCAAAATATACAATTGTTAAATGTTTATAGCATCAAAAAATCAACAAGTATTAAATGGAAGATCATTTAAATCCATAAAAAATAATAACTAAAAAAGAAAAGAGATACGCGTCACACGAAATGATAGTTTACAAAGAAACTTTAATACTGTTATACATATAAATATGTTTGGACATTTTTAGACTTTTATCAGACGTTCTTGGCTTAAAAATAAATATGTTTTGAAAATTCTATCGGCAAAAAATCTAAGACGGCAGTATTGGACAGTCGAAGACGGTAGAAGAAAATTGTAATAAGTATACCTTCTGTGAAGACCACACCGCTTAACTTGCAAATAATTTTGACTGTTTGTACTTCATGTCTAAATAAATTACATATCCTTTACATATATGTGATGACATTTTTATTGATATTTTTTACTTTGAAGAAGTCCTCATAACTAGGAATATAAACATTTTTATTTTAATTTTTAAACATATTTTAAAATATTGACTATCTTAACTTATTTATCTGTGAACAAGTAAGTTTTATTATTGTTTTGTATTTTATCGACCCTGCCTATAATAGTTTTGAAACTCATATATTTTGCCAGATGGATTATATTAAATTACTAAAAGTGATACATATGAAATAGTGACAGTAAGAAATAAAAAAAAATACACGACTTGTTCGAAAATGAAGCATTTTGAGAGCCTTTATGCATTGGTTCGCGCCAATACGAATGTCCTTAGCCAAACAACTAAGCCAATATGTTTCTACCATAATAGGCATGACGAACCAACATGTTTCTACCATAATAGGCATGACGAACCAATATGTTTCTACCATAATAGGCATGACGAACCAATATGTTTCTACCATAATAGGCATGACGAACCAATATGTTTCTACCATATAGGCATAGGCATGACGAACCAATATGTTTCTACCATATAGGCATGACGAACCAATATGTTTCTACCATATAGGCATAGGCATGACGAACCAATATGTTTCTACCATATAGGCATGACGAACCAATATGTTTCTACCATATAGGCATGACGAACCAATATGTTTCTACCATATAGGCACAGGCATGACGAACCAATATGTTTCTACCATAATAGGCATGACGAGCCAATCATAATAGGCATGACGAACCAATATGTTTCTACCATAATAGGCATGACGAACCAATATGTTTCTACCATAATAGCCATGACGAACCAATATGTTTCTACCATAATAGGCATGACGAACCAACATGTTTCTACCATAATAGGCATGACGAACCAATATGTTTCTACCATAATAGGCATGACGAACCAACATGTTTCTACCATAATAGGCATGACGAACCAATATGTTTCTACCATAATAGGCATGACGAACCAATATGTTTCTACCATAATAGGCATGACGAACCAATATGTTTCTACCATAATAGACATGACGAACCAATATGTTTCTACCATAATAGGCATGACGAACCAACATGTTTCTACCACAATAGGCATGACGAACCAACATGTTTCTACCATAATAGGCATGACGAACCAATATGTTTCTACCATAATAGGCATGACGAACCAATATGTTTCTACCATAATAGGCATGACGAACCTATATGTCAACTTTCTACTATATAGACATGGTGGATTTCTTTTTCTCGAGATATTTGTATATCATTTGATGGAAAAATATACCAACTGTGTGCAATATTTCAGATCTTTCAGTGCGATTCTCGAGAATAATCATTTTTATCGGGCAAAATGACCTAAAATGAAAAACGTTATTAATACACTTCTAACGCAAAACTGGCTAAAAATCGCACTAAATATCGATAATTGATTTCAATTTTAATATTATATTACTTTATCGTCTGTTCCTTGTTTTTCCGTTTTAAGTGCCCAAACGCATCTTTATTAGAGTTTTAGGCCTTTGAACCTCGGCGGAGTTCCTTTAATAATATTACATTTCTTAACAAAGGTTTAAATAATGTTTATAATTATCTGGTTGTAAACATATCATTTAAAAGATATATGATAGTATACAACAGGGTTAAGATGACTTTATCAAATGACCAAATGATATATAAAGTATAAAATTTTACATTATGCTCAATCTAGTGTTACTTGATTGACAGATCGAACATCACTAAATGCGCGTCATCACTAATTTCACGGAAATACCATACATGTTTCTCCAAATGGCCGGTGTTTTTGTCAAATTTGGCGTATATTAGTCATACAATTTAACAATGAAGAAT